TCTCTGCAGAGAAGGATGGGCTAGCCCATCATCACCATCCTAGGTGATGGGGGGCAGCCTCAGCCTTGCCGGGCCTCCTGAGGACTTACCTCCTCTGCCATGTGGCCGTGCACATTCGGAAAGAGTTCCATGTCATCCCATGGTTTGAAATACCATCTGAGTGCTGGGTGCCTGCCTCCCCATTTGTTTCTCTAGCCCAGATACCACCATCCGGGGGTTCCCTAAGCGCCGTAGCCTGTTGTGTTCAAACAGGGCTCCTCTCCATCCCTGCCTGCTTCACCACTGCCCTGCTCCTCCTCAGTGCCGCAGATGCCACCCGTGCTCTCCCAAGGTGCCCAACCCAGGAACTTGGGAGTCTTCTGGACATCTCTTCCTCCCTCCCCATCCCCATCTCAAACTCCATGCGATCAGCCTCCAGGCCCAGGCTGTTCACTACCTAGGTATTTCTTGAGTCCCTCATCTTCTCTCTTGGCCCCTTTGAGCCCATCCTCCACAGAGTAGCCAAAGCTAGAGTCTGCAAACGCAGTTTTACCTTTTTCACTCCCCTACTCTAGATTCTTTGATGGCTCCCCACTGACTTGAGGACAAAGCTCAAACTCTGTAATGGAACTCATAAAGGCCCCTGTGTGGCCTCTGTCTGATTCCCCAGCCTCCCACCTCCACTCCAGACCGCCATGCTGGAGCCCCCTCGACTATGTTCTCCTCCCCCACAGGCTCTCCCCAGCCTCCCTTGGGGCCTTTGTTCACCATATTTCTCCGTCTAGAAAGCTCGATCTATCTTCAGTGCAGCCTTTAGTTCTCAATCTAGAAAGTGCTTCCTCTGGGAAGCCATCCATCACCTCACCACCAAATGTGAGCGAGGGGGCCCTCCTGTGCTCCACAGCTCCTTCTCATGACTACATTTATGAGGCTGTGTCATCATCTTCTGTTCCCCTGTGTGTCCCCTCACTTGAGTGGAAGGCATGTGGGGGCAGGGTCTCGGCTGCTTTGGTCCCTGCTGCATCTTCAGCACCTTGCTGCGCCTGGCCTGTACACAGAGACTGAATGAGTGAAGCCTGAGAGAACTAAGACCTTCCTCTTCCCAGCAGCTGCTCACTTTAGCTTGACAAGCCCTTGGTTGCTTTCGGGTAACTTTCTCCCGCTTGCCGCCGCTCGCCCTGCCTCCCTGTGGGACCCTGCCGGAGATTGCTGAGATTGCTTCCTGCCCACAGCTTCTGATGAGGAAGGGCTGTGCTGTCTTTCTCTGACCGAGTCTCTGACCAGGGTACCTCATTTCATGGCTCCCAAGCCATCCCAGCACTTCTGTAGCCTTTCAAGATCACTTGCCTTCTTACACCCCCACCTGAAATTCACCTCCTGGCTGTGACTTCCATAAATTTTGTACATTTAATTCCCTGATGCTGTTCAATTTTTGCATCCCAGACTGAGCTAAGCCCCTGAAGTAATTTGAGTAACAGCTCAATTATCTCATCTCTCCTTTAATCTTTCCATTTCTATTAGGAAGCAGTGAAAAATGGGATGTGCAAAGTATTTTCTGCCCAGCCTGCTTCTCCCTTGCGGTTGTTATCTCACTTTGTGTCATCAGCATCCACCCAGTTGCCTTGGGATCACTCTCCTCTCCTCCCTCCTTCCTCCCTATTTCCTGGAGCTCTCCATGGTGATCTGCACTCCCTTGGAGGTGTCTCAAGCCCTCCCTTCTCTGGCCACACTGCTACCCACCCAGGCCCTCATCATCTCTCTTCTCCTAGACTAAGGGCACCTCCTGACTGTTCCTCCTCTCTCCAGCCCCGTGCCTGTGTCCACACCCAACCATCCTGCCATACACTCACCCATCTCTCAGTCACTCATCTATGTATCCATCCGCTCATCCACTAATTCACTCATTCACCTACCCACCCACTCATCTACCCATCCATCCACTTACTCATATATTTACCCATCCATCCACCCATTTATCCATTCATCCATCCATCTATCCATCCATCGACCCATCCATCCATCCATCCATCCATCCTACAGTCTGCCCTCAGTGATCTTAACCTCTGCTTCAGTAACTTTCATAACCCCTCACTGCCTACAGCAGTCATTCTTAGCCCTGGCTACACATTAGAATGTTACAGAAAGTGTTTTAAAAATACCACTACTAGGGGCACCTGGGTGGCTCAGTCGGTTAAGCATCCAACTTTGGCTCGGGTCATGATTTCATGGTTTGTGAATTTGAGCCCCACGTTGGGCTCTGTGCTGACAGCTCAGAGCCTGAAGCCTGCTTTGGATTCTCTCTCTGCCCCTCCCCTGCTCGTGCTCTCTCTCAAAAATAAATAAACATTAAAATTTTTTTAAAAAAATACCAATACTAAGGCTTTACCCCTAGAGATTCTGATTTAGTTGGTCTTGGATTGGGCCTGGCTCTTGGTGTTTTCTTAAAGCTCTGCAGGTGATTCTAGTGTACAGCTAGGTAGAGAACCATGTGACCTAGAGGATAAATTCCAAGCTCGCTAGCTTGGCATTCGTTGCTCCCCACAATCAAGCCCTTACTCTGTCCCTCCAGCCTCATGTCTTACCAGTCCTCCCTTAACGTATTTGAAATTCTGGCTCTACTGAGCCACTTACCTATCTTTGTGTCCATGGTCCCCTCTGCCTACAATTCTGTCTCTCTCTGCTCTGTTTTGGAAAGCTCCTACCCGTTCTTCAAGACCCAGCACAAATGTGTACTCTTCTCGTGCAACTCTCTTCTACAGCATCTGCTATGAATCAGGCCCGTTCCTGGGCACTGGCTGTGGTACCTGGACCACAACAGTCTCTCCTCTGGAAGAACTTACAGTAGGATGAGGAACGGGGATGGAAACTCCTTAAGGCAAATGTTCTCAAACCCGAGTGTGTTAGGGCACCCAGGGGGCTGGTTGAAACACAGATGCTGGGCCTCCCCCTACAGGGTTTCTTATTAAGTGGCCTGGGGTGGCCCTGAGAACTTGCACCTGCAACAAGTTCTTGGCTGATGCCAATGCTGCTGGTCCAGGTACCACAGTTTCAGAACCCGTGCCTTAGCGTTTGCTCACAGCTGTGCTCTCTGTGGAGGCACCATTGAAGCTGAGACCAAGAGGAAGAGAAGGAGGCAGTCACAGGAAGAGCAGGGGCTCGCGCGTTCCAGACGGAGGGAAGAGCATGCGTGAAGGCCCCGGGTGGGAGGGAACCTGGCACGAAGGAGAAGGGCGCTGCGTGCCCGGCGTGTGGAGAGCACGGGGGAGAGTGGTGCCTTCTCCAGCTTCTCAAGCGGAACTGATGCTCCTTACACGTCTCCATTATAGCGCTTTCTCTCCTTCACAGCCCACCCGAGACCTGACGCTGAGTAAATGCCGAGGCAATGGGGCTGGGTGGTTGAGTTTTTTCGTGTTCTAGCTTTTTCTCTAGGCTACTAGCAAGGAAGCATTTGTTCATTTTTCTCCTATGGCAGCCTATCTTTTCCTTTTTCTTTATGCATTTCCCACCATAGCCATCCTCTAAACCAAACTCTTTCCTCCGCGATTCCTGCTGTCTAGGCGGCATTTTAGCCCATTTGGTGCCAGCAAGAAAATTCCTGTAAGAGGCCCCTCCTCACCTGTCCTTCCCAAGCTCAGGTGTTGGGGTGGAGTATGGGGCGTAGGGGTGCCGCGGGTGCCCGGAGATCGTCAGGGCTGCACCCCTGGCACATCCACTTGGCTGTGGGAGGATGATGTGGTCATAGTGAGGGTCAGCAGAATCGCCTTCCTCAAAATTGCTGCTAGTGGGTGGCTGGCTGCATCTGTGTCCAGCCCTCGGGGGTGGCCCACCCTGAGGGCACGAGGGGAGAATGCAGGTCTGGGGGCATCGTAGAGGCCACCAGCGTCACAGGCGGACGGCCCTGTCCCCCACATCCTGCCTTTCCAACATGTCCTTCCCACCCTGGGAAGTAGAGTAAGGGAAGAATCAGGGCCAGAGGGCAAGAACACAGCACACCACCACATGTGGCCGCGTGAGATTATCGGTTTCTAATTACCCTGACCTCTTTCTTTCTGGAGAGTAGGATGTGTACACACACACACACACACACACACACACACACACACACACACCCTTTACCGAGGCCAACAGAGAGGCTTTTGGGAAAGTATACAGAAGAGAGGGATATTCTCCCATTTCAGTTTTCAGAAAAATCCCATTTCTCAAGCCTTCTGAGACTGTGGTATGTAGATATCTGGTGCTCAGACTTTAGCTTGAATCAGAATCCCATAGAGGGTGTGTTAAAACCCACATTGCCACCTCTAGCTGATTGAGCAGGTCTGGAATGGGGCTCAAGAATCTGCATTTCTAGCAGGATCTCTGGTGATGTTGCTGCTGGCCTGAGGAACTCACTTTGAGAATCCGCGCTTCAGCAAAATGCCCACTTAGAGGCTGCTAAGACCTGTCCGTTGTTACAGGAGAGAGACTTCTTTGTCTTGTATGTACTTCGCTCAGGCGTGCCATTTGGGAAGATGGGCTAACATCCTTTCAAGTACAGAACCTGAAACCCTCCAAGCCCCCAGCTCCACTGGGAGACAAAAGACATGTGTTTCCAAGAAGCCAAGACACAGAAGCTGACCCTTGTCAAGGGTCCAAGGGGCTGGGGGAGTCAGGGAAGTGTCCACTTCTGTTTCTCCACTGCATAGTTTTAGAACTACTGTGGGTATCTCAAACACAATTGGTTGAGTATTTCTTAGCCTCATGGAAGGCAGCTTCTGCCCAGAAGGGAGCGATGCACATAGCAAATGCCACATGCAGTGGGAGAGGGGAATGGGAAAGGACTTAGGACCCAAAGACCTGGGTTTGGCCCCAGCACTGCTCTAGGACCTTGGGGGAATCACTTCGCTAGCTGTAAATGTGTTCCAATGAAACCGAACTTGAAAGGGCCCCTTGAGGGTCAAAAGAGCTACAGTGGATGACCATGCAGAATACTATGTGGGCGACAGTCCCAGTGAAGCCAACCTGAGCTGCCTTGGTTTCCACAGGAAGGACCAGTACCTCCTCTCACCCGTGAACTGTTGGTACCTAGTCCTGCATCAGACCAGGCGGGAGAGTCGAGATCATGCCACCCTCAATGACATCTTCATGAACAATGTCATCGTCCGCCTCTCACAGATCAGCGAGGATGTCATCAGACTCTTCAAAAAGGTGGGCAAGCGGGCCGCTCCGCCTGCTTGGACATCCCTGCCCCAGGCTGGCCACGGCATCGCTGCCGGCCACGGTGGGATATGGTGTGGGGGGGTGGGACCGGGAGGGCAGGCGAGCTGAAGGGTGCAAGGGGCCGAGGGCTGGACACGGTGTCCCAGACTCTGAGTCTGAATCCTAGACATGACTGGTGGCCTCAGCCACTTCCACAGCCACCCCCACAAAAGTTAAAATCTCTACATGGTTGGCAAATACTGCATGTTCATTGTGGAAAACTGGGGGAAATGGACATGTGCACACACACACACACACACACACACACACAAATTAAAATCTCTGGGAATGCTATCACCCTGCAATAATCACTTTGGTACCATAGGAATTTATTTTTCATATAACTGCAAATACATTTTTTGTAAGTTCTCATATCTATGCATTTCCACTATACATTTCCCAAATGACACAAGACTGCATCGATAACTTTACTACCTTATGTCACCTAACAAATTACATAACACTGTATTACAGAATTTTCGCACGTCAATAAATATATTTCTGTACCATTTTTAAATGATTCCATAGAATTTCATGGTAGAGATTACCCAAACTTATTTAACCAATCTTTTATTGCTGAACACTTAGGTTAATCTCCATTATTTTACTCTTAGAAATAACACGGCGGAGAGCGTCTTTGTATAAATACTTTTGCCACGGTCACTGCTATTATGGTCGGCTTCTGCAACAGGAGTTTTTGGGTCAAAAGTTTGCTCATTTTTAAGGCTTTTAACACAGTGCTCTGTTGCTTTCAGAAAGGTTTTACCCATATAAATGCCCAGAAGTCAAGTGTGCAGGGAGCAGTCACTTGTATGTGCCCTGAGGTCTCTACATCCCCAGCGCCTTGCACGGCGCCTGGCAGACAGTAGATGCCGTGTGTGATGTTTGTAGATCTGAACCCACCTCTGTGAACTTCCGTTTCCTCTCTGTAAAATGGGCTAGTCCTTTGGTTTCAATGGGCCTCATCTTCTGTGTCCATCAAATGGTTTTAAGGTCAACTACTTCCCAGGGGCAGTGTGAGGGTTGAAGGGGATAGTGCGTGTGAAGGACGGGGAGATGTTGACCAGGGTGTGGTCTCTGGGTCCAGAATTTTAAAATTCCTGGGTTCATAGGTTCATAATCCTGGTTCCATAATTTATCAGCTGTGTGTCTTTGTGTGTTGTTCCTTTAACTCTGTGCCTCAGTTTCGTCATTTGTGAGATGGGAATAAAAACACACACGGCCTTGGGGAAGATTAAGAGGGTATTAACCCATGAAAAAAATAAAGATAAAAAAACAGAAACGACTTCAGCACAGGTCACGATCTGTTCAGGAGTTCAAGCCCCGTGTCGGGCTTTGTGCTGAGATCACTGAGCCTGCTTCGGATGGTCTGTCTCCCTCTTTCTCTGCCCCTCCCCCACTCTCTCTCTTTCTCTCTCTCCCTTTCAAAAATAAACATTAAAAAATTTTTTAAAAAATAAGAGGGTGTTAGTCCAAAGAAAGACACGGACAGTAAGTGTTCGGGAAAGCCGGCTACCACTATAGCAAGGTGAGCGTTACTACCAAAATTATTGAGCTCTTCTGGCCCTGCCACGTGCCCATTTTAGGGGTTCGGTGACCTGGGATTGCTAGACGCAGGAGGAGGAGAACAAGTCGATTTGAAATGTAATCATCTCCGTGTGGTCTGTATTTGGATTGTCCACTTTCAGGACGACTTCCACGGCAATACTGTAAAACCACAGGCTAATTCCCTTCCACCACACAATGTGTGCCGCTCCTCTCCTGGGGAGGTGTTTACGAAATGTGGTCTAAGTTTAATATTTGTGTGAGCAAACATAATTAGGAAGGTAAATACAGTGCCATAATAAAAAAAAAAAAAACAACACAGTGCTTTGCAAAACCAAACAGATGATTCCGATCCCTCGGTCTGGCCAGAAGCCCCCCGCCTGGTGCCGCTGTCACATCTTTTTCCTGGGTGGGAGTGACTCACAGAGAAAGGGTCATCAGGGCCGTTAGGAAATGAAGGGTCTTTTTCCTGACTGAGCGCTGGGACAAGTGAGATAAATCTTTTCAGTTCTCATTTAGGCTGACAGCAGCCTCACTGGTGATGGGGGTTAACAGGGTAGAAAATAATGAAAAAATGTCGACAGCTGAGCTTCTGGCTCCTTGTTACCAGGCCTGTGGCTGTGGAACAAAGGAAACGACCTGGCCCCTGTGGGCCGGGAGAGAGCCGGAGAAGGGCCTGGCTGGCTGATTTAGCACAGCTCGGTCCCTTTGTGTCACATCAGTCACAGATAATCTCGGCACGGAGGCTGCACTCCTCATGTACTAATAGATTCCGCAGACCTCAGAGCAACGGTGAGGCCAGTCTCTGGTCAGACTGGGGAGTGGGATCGCCACTCACCCCACTTTGCTAATGAGCAGGTAAAGCCTGAGAAACTTCCAGAGAACCCAGACTTGTCCACTTTGGGCCCCGTTTTCACCACCGGCGGGAAGCAGTATGGCTGGGCTTTTGAAGTTTGTCTCAGAACTGCCCCTCACTGACTCGTGAACCCGGGCAAGTCTCCGAGCTTCAGTTTTCTCGAAATCTAGGGAATGGAGATGGTGACAGGGCCCATTTTAGGGGCTGCTTTGAAGAGCAGAGGTAGGCCAAGTGTCCGGCACAGACCTGGCATCCATCAGATGCTCATTAAATGGTGGCTAATGACCCCGAAGACTGGAGCAGCCCCCTCCCCATTCCTGAGCTGGGTCCTAACACTCGAGTGGGTGTTCCTTCACCACCTATGCACTGCTCATGCATCTGCAGGAGGTGGGAGAAGCTTCTGGGCCAGGTGTCCTTCCTGGGCTTGGGTCTGGGGCAGCTGCTCTGCCTGCCAGCTTCTCACTGTCTCACGTGCTCTTTGACTTAATAACGTACCTTCTCCTGATTCTCCATTTCCCCTTTGCAGTCGTTCTTATGACTAGAGACAGCACTTCCCATTCCACAAGGCATCCTACGACTCCTGTGGGCAAGTGGACATAGGCACACAGCGGCCCTTGCATTAAGGACGAGATAAGGATCCGTTGCAGCCAGAGGGACCGGCTGAGACCTTAGAGGCCATCATGGTGGTCAGAGCTTTTATGGTTGCGAACAACAGAAACCCATCTCAGCTGTCTTGGGCCAGGGACTTAGCGGCTCTCCAGAGCCAAGGCTGGCTTGGGCATGGGGGCTTCAAGGGCATAGAAGAACTCCATCTCCCTGCACCTCTGCTCCAATTTTCTCTGTTTTCTCAGTTTTTTCAGGGGTGGGGTGAAGGACTCTTTCACAGGAAGTCTCTTTCCATGTGATAACCATGTGCCCCCCTCCCGGCCGGCAGCTCCAGGCTTGCCTCCCACCTGCATCAAGCCCCGTGGCAAGTCCGAGCTCCCTTCTCCCAGAATTGAGTCTTAGGGGCTCCGATCGCCCAACATGGCCCACACCAGCGCTCCTGAAGCTGCATCTGTGGCCTGCGAGAGGCGGTGCTCTGACTGACCAGGCCCAGGAAACATCCCCACCCCCGAAGCCACGCATACACTCAGCTCCGCCTAACCCACCCACAGAGAATGGGTGGTTCCTCCGAAAAACTAGAGTCATCTTCTAAGAAGACGGGAGAAATAAAACAACAGATGTCCACTAGGTCTGTGTCCTTGTCCCTTTATCATCTGCTCCAGGAGCCGTCCTCCCTCTGCTAGATGTCCCTCAGAAATGGTATTCCTTACCTCTCAGGATGGCTCATTCCATCTGGGGACAACCATGATCAACAGAAAATTCTCCCCAATGTTGAGCGGCGCCTGGGTGGCTCAAGTCGGTTAAGCGTCCGACTTCGGCTCAGGTCATGATCTCACGATTCGTGGGTTCGAGCCCCGCGTCGGGCTCTGTGCTGACAGCTCAGAGCCTGGAGCCTGCTTCGGATTCTGCGTCTCCCTCTCTCTCTGACCCTTCCCTGCTCACGCTGTGTCTATCTCTCTCAAAAATAAATGAAACATTAAAAAAATTTAAAAATAAATAAATAAATAAATAAAAGAAAATTCTCCCTGGTGTTGAGATGAAATCTCCATGTTTACACTCATGGTCCTGGTCCCGTCCTGAGGGCCACGTAGACCAAGCCACGTGGAAATTTGTCAGCTGCTCGAAGACAGAAATCACGACCACCCAGCCAGATCTTTCCCACCTCTGTCTGAGTAAACACCCCAGGTCCCTTCAGTTTACCCTGTGATTTGGCTTTGCCCCCACCCCCCCCTCGCCCCACCGAAGTCAGGCCCCAGGCTTCTCTGACCTGCACAGTTAACATTCAGATCTGTTCAGAATACTCCAGGAAGGTTGGACAGGCGAAGAGTAGAGCAGGGCTGTCTGTCTAGACACATTCTTTCTAATAATGAAACCTATGCAGGCGTTTGCCTTTTTGACCTCCATCTCTTCACATGGCCGGCTCCCTCTGAGCTCCCTGCTTGAATCCCTGGGTATTTTTATGCTAGCTGTTCTTTAATCTGTCTTTTGAATTCTGTACTTGTATTTCTTTATATTTGGTCTTTTCAAACTTTATTTTATTAGATTCTGGTCGAGACAGCTGTGGCTCAGTTGGCTGAGCATCTGATTCTTGATTTTGACTCAGATTATGATCCCAGGGTTATGGGATCGAGCCCTGCATTAGGCTCCGTGCTGAGCATCTAGCCCGCTTGGCATTCTCTTTCTCTCTCTCTCTCTTTTTTTCCCTCCCCACTTCCCCCGCTCTCTCACTAAAATAAATAAAAAGTTAGATTCTGGTCAAATGGGATCACTGTTTTTATTTAAGTGATTTTTCAAGCAGCAATAGGGTAACTCTTCTGAGAGGTCCTAATTCCTCCTCTGGGGAAAGACTTTTATAAGTTCGCTATGTCTCCCTCTCTCTTCCCTCTGTGTTCCCTTCTTCTGTGTGTCAATTCTTTAATCTCACGTTTGATTCTTCTTTACC